CATGATCCTGGAGTCCCGGGATCGAGTCCCACATCGGGCTCCCTGCTCAGCAGGGAGTCTGCTTCTCCCTCTGACCCTCTTCCCTCTCGTGCTCTCTCTCATTCTCTCTCTCAAATAAATAAAATCTTAAAAAAAAAAAAAAAAGAAAAGAAAACCCACTCTACCTGGCTTAAACAAATAGGGGAGTCATGGGCTTTGGCCAACTTCAAAGTCCAAAGTGAATGTGCTCAGGTAAGGTTTGATCTAGGAGGTCAGCAGTTTCACCAGATTTGTCCTGTCTGCTTACTTCAGTTCCTGAAATGTTGATTCATCTAAGAGCGAGTCCCTGTTTTAGTTTCCTAGGGCTGTGGTAACAGAGTACCACAAACTTGGTGGCTTAAAACAAGAGAGATTTATTCTGTCAATTCTGGAAACCAGAAGTCCAAAATCAAGGTGTATGTAGGGCAGTGTTCCTTCCAAAGGCTCGACGGGAGGATCCTTCCTTGCCTCTTCCAGCTTCTGGTGGTTCCTGGTGTTCTTTGGCTCGTGGCCACGTCACCCCTGCCTTGGTCTCCATCCTCACATGACCTTCTTCTCTGTGGCCTTTCCTCTTGTAAGGATGCCTGTGGTTGGATTCCCAGTATAATGTCACCTCAATCCTTTCATTATTTCCAAACAAGGCCACATTCTGTGTGGATGAGTGTGAATTCTGGACACTGTTTAACCCACTGCCGTCCCTAGCAGCTCTGTCTAGGTGGCTGTGCCAGCAACAGCTCTGTGCATTTTTTGCTCATGGCCAGCAAGAAAGCATCTTTGCTCCAGCATTCTTAGCAAAGGTCCTGAGATTCGCTGTGCTTGGCCCAGCTTAGGTCAGGCCCATTTCTGAATCAATCACAGTGATCAGGGATGGGAGTGCTGATTGGCCAAACTAGGCCATATATTCTTTGCCTAGAACGGGGGATGGAATGTAGAAGACACAGAGCTACATGTGTCCCCAAGAGAAGGCAGGACTCTTGGGGAGGTGAAGGGTGGATCTCAGAGGTGAGAGATGTTCACTGTAACCAGCAATGCCAACAGCTTTTATCTCGTACCCCAGCGCACACGAGGTGCATGGGATGTTGTGGTCATTTGGGTCATGATGGCACAAGGTGGGGAACCATTTCCTTCGGGACTGCTGCACTTCCCAGCCTCCCAGGGAGTCCCCTTGGCAGAGAGCACCACAAGATCTCTGCTGCTTGCTCAGATCTCGGTGGATCTGCCCCGCCTGGGATATTGTCACAGGGCTCCATGTTTGTTTCCAGGCAGCTTTGGAAAGCGCCTCTAGAAGAGAGGTTTGTGGGCTGTTCCTGGGGCTGGGGCCATGGTGGGGGCAGGGGTGCTCCTCCCCCTTTGGCCAGGGTGCATCCACTTTCATGTTTTATACAGTAGGCTCCTAGGTAGTTTCCTTAGAGCAGTATCTTCTCAACGTTAGGCATCCGCGTGCCTCCTGCTTGGGTGTTTGCCGAGCAGCCACCTTCTTTCTGCCTGCCTGAGATGCCAGCTACCTGCACCAAGATTCTCCTGACCCACTGATTTCAATCAACACCCCTTAAGCCTTTCACCCACAACTGTGAGTGGACAACCAGTATCGTATGCCATGAATGGAAGTTTGCTGTAGGAGTAAATAAAGGAACAACTTCAGATTGTCCACCCCAAGTGCAGAGCTGCAGAGTCCTGCTCTGCCTGAAAGAGGAGACGGAGAGACGCAGGTGTGAAAGCTGCTTCCTTATTGAGGTGACCAGAAGGATCAACAGACTCAAAAAGGGAACCCTGACCTCTCAGGTGGATAGAGACACAGCCCCACCTCCTCCCCACCCCACCTCACCCTCACCAACCCACAGTGCACATGTAGCATGAGTGAGCAAAATAAACTTGTGTTCAGCCACTGAGATGTGACACTTAACTGTGTCGGCACAGCATTAATCTGGCTTATCCTGTCACGCTTAGTTATCCTTGGCAGGAGGATATCCTTTGGGCCTTAGCCAAACTCAGTGTTCCCCCCTAAACTCACAACCTGAGATCAAGACCTAAGCTGAAATCAAGAGTTGTACGCTTAACTGAGCCACCCAGGCAACCCTGATTTAATTTTTAAAGATTTATTTATTTGAGAGCAAGCACAAGTGGAGGGGGCAGAGGGAGAGGGGGAGAAAGCATCTCAGACTCCCTGCTGAGCGTGGAGCCTGACTTGGGGCTCCTTCTCAGGACCCTGAGATCATGACCTGAGCCAAAATCGAGAGTCAAGCACTTAACCAACTAAGCCACCCAGGAGCCCCTAAATCGATTTATTTTTCAAGAGGATTTTCTACTACTGCCATGAGTGGGAAACTAGTTTCTCTTGTCAGTAAAGGAAAAAGGGGGGGGGAGGAGGAACTAAAATAAATACCGAGAGGAAAATAGTATTAATTTCTATCTACAATGACTGCCTGAACCTGAGGCCTGCTGTGTCTTTGTATCCAGAGAGGCGTGAACGACATGATGTTGATGCTTCCTCCTCAGTCAGGATCACACTAGAACGAAGTGTGGTCTGATGATGTATCTGAGGACCAGCAAAACTGTGTGGCTCCCCGGTGTCCATGCTCCACCCACACTTTGGGACAATAGACATAACTATCCCCTCTCATGGGGCAGTGTTCACCATGAGAAGCCCTCCTCCTCCAGAACGTGAGCACTTTGCAGGCCTGGGGGCCTCCGTGTGCCCAGCATCTGGCCAGGTATGTGGCAGCAGGCTGAGAGAGGCAACCAACGCTTATAGACTCAAAACTTTAATCAGAGAACCAAGAGAACCAAAACGCACACATGAAGGGCATTTCCACACTGCCCCATAGCAACACAGGTCAGTAGTTACAGAGACTGCCCCCACCATGGCTGCCAATTTTCCACAGGGCCTCTGACCTCTCTCTTTGGTGTCAAAACTCTCGTTGAACACACTCATCAGTTCGAGTTCCTGCCTCTGTTCTGCCCCTTTGGTAGAGAACAGGCCCGTCGCACAGACTACACAGCAATCGGAGGGCGGGGACCATGTGCGGGGAGTTAGATGTTTTGGCCATTTGAAAACCAGTATGTTCCCACTGTGGTGTGGGCCCAGTGGTCAGCCAATCAGTTCTTAGTTACAACAACAAAACCAACCAGCAGAACTCAAGGTGTGAGGTTTAAAAAGCTCAAGTGCACGGAGCACATATTCCTAAGCTTTTGTAGCACCAAAAACATGAAAGATATCACAAGTGTCAGTGTCTTCATTAGATTCTGTTTATGCTTCAGGAAACATGTCACTGGTCATTCAGTGGGTGAGACACAAAAACCCAGAGCTGAGGAGGTATCATCAAGAGGGAGCTGATCGTGTGGTTCCACAAGGTGTCTCAGCTGTAGAACAGGCCTGGCCAAGGTTAAGCAGTAGACCTGAGGGCTCCAACAGGATGGTGTCCTCCCTGGGCTCTCCAGCACTCCGCCACAGTCCCAGAACTTGCTGTGACATGAGGGAATTTAAGATGTCACTTGTCAATGAATGGTACTTATCTGTGGAAATGGGGCCATCCACTTCCCTTTGATTCCAGAAGCTTCCAGACAAGGTATTCCCTACCTGGAGCCTTGGTATTCCCTACCCTGGAGCCTGACAAAGTGCCTGGTGAGTGGCTGGCTTGAACAAACAGTACATGAGGAATATGTTAGCTGTCATTTCTGTATACTACAATTTCTACCACCAAGGACATCTGTTAACTCTGTGGCAATATAAAATGCAGCTTTCCCAGATGAATCCCACTGCTTCCAGTACCATTAACTCCCACAGCAAACTGGGCCTCATGCTGTATAACCAACTTTAAATTATGGGACGGGGTGACATGTATATGTGGGAGGGTGTCCTTTTGAGTGGGAGGTTTTGGAAGTTAGGAGTGGAAAGTTCTAACTAGTTGGTGTTAGTTTACATGCTCTTCTTGGCTTCTGTGGGTTAATTAAGAAAGTACAACAGAGCAGAGGGAAGGAAAAGACTAGACTTTTTTTTTTAAAGAAAAAAGCAAGGTGCTGGGTTTTGGGAACCAAATTTAGCCAGGGGCCATTTTGGATAAACCTTTAAAAATGAAAGCTATGTGGGGCACCTGTGTGGCTCAGCCAATTGAGCATCCAACTCTTGGTTTTCGCTGGGGTTGTGATCTCACGGTTGTGGGATCAAGCCCTGCATCAGGCTCTGCGCTTAGCACAGAATCTGCTTCAGATTCTCTCTTCCTCTCCCTCCCACTCACTCTAAAATAAATAAAATCTTGAAAAAAAAACTATCTAAAAAAAATAAAAGTGATGAAAGAGCACCTAACTGGCTCAGTCAGAAGAGCATATGACTCTTGGTCTCAGTGGTCAGTTCAAGCCCCACGTTGGGTACAGATATTACTTAAAAGTAAAATCTTAAAAAAAAAAAAATGAGGGGCACCTGGGTGGCTCAGTTGGTTGGGCATCTGCCTGCCTCAGGTCATGATCTCAGGGTCCTGGGATCAAGTTCTGGGTCGGGCTCCCTGCTCAACGGGGAGCCTGCTTCTCTCTCTCCCTCTGCACCTCACCCCTGCTCGTGCTCTCTCAAATAAATAAATAAAATCTTTTTTAAAAATGAAAGCCACTGCATAGTTTTAGCAAGAACATTAACTGCAGTAAATAGAGGATTGCTAATTCTTCCCTTTTTAATATATTTGTTGTGTATCATAAGTATTTGTAGCTCACATCTGGTGAGTACTTGCTATGTGCTGGGCACTCAGTTCAAAGTGCTTCTTTACATCTATTTATTTATCCTCACAACAGCCCTCTGAGGTAGGTAATTGTCTTGTGCCCATTTTACAGATGAGGATGCCCTAGGACGTCCCATGACTCTCCCCAGATCACTCAGGTAGCACGTGTCAGAGCTGGGATTTAACTCAGCCAACTGGCTCGGGTCTACCTCTGAATTCCCATGTTCTCAACTACTGTGTTTTCATGAAACTCATGTACAAATTTTCTAATCACTCTTTATGGATAAAGAGATGTATTTATTTGGGGAGAGGGAGCTTACAATGTGATTTCAACTTTAGGACTCAGATGAACCATGTTCAGATGTCTGGGACTTTGCTGCCACCCAGTACTAGGAAGTATTGCTACTTGTTACTTTCTACTTAACTCCTTGTTACCTGTAAGTGTGAACTTGCTGATGTCTGCTGAGACCTGCAGCAAAGGGCTGACAAGGTTGACATTGCTAGTTTCTCTTGGGTGTGGAACTCTCTGGGTTGGTGAACTCTCTGGTGCTGACTGAGATGGGCACTGAGGCCAAAGGCTTTCCCACACACCCTACAGGCATAAGGCTTCTCCCCAGTGTGAACTCTCTCATGCTGCATCAGATTTGCTTTCTGGGCAAAGGCTTTCCCACATTCAGCACACACATAAGGCTTCTCCCCGGTATGAATTCTCTGGTGAACAGAAAGGCACGAGCTCTGGCTGAAGGCTTTCCCGCATTCCTGACAAACATAAGGCTTTTCTCCGGTGTGAATTCTCTGGTGAACAGAAAGGCACGAGCTCTGGCTGAAGGCTTTCCCGCATTCCTGACAAACATAAGGCTTTTCTCCGGTGTGAACTCGCTGGTGAACAGAAAGGCACGAGCTCTGGCTGAAGGCTTTCCCACATTCCTGACAAACATAAGGCTTTTCTCTGGTGTGAACTCTCTGGTGTTCAATGAGTTGAGCACCCACGCTGAAGGTTTTCCCACAGTCACTGCATTTGTGGGGTTTCTCACCTATGGGATCTCTCTGATGCTTAGAAAGGCACAAGCTCTGATGGAATGATTTTCCACATTCGTTACACTTAAAGGACTTCTTTCCAGCATGAGCTCTCTGATGCTGAGTAAGGTAGTTACCGTGGGCAAAGGCTTTGTCACATTTGTTACACTGAGATAGTTTCTCTGCAGTGTGAATTAACCAATGTTCTGAGAGATGTGCACTTTCACGGAAGGTCTTTCCACATTCATTACATTTAAAGGGGTGCTCGCTTTTGTGGACAGACTGATGTTTGGTAAGGGAAGTGCTGTGGATGAAGGCCTTCCCACAGTCCCCACATTCATACCGCCTCGCCCCAGAGTGGATGCTCTGGTGGCGAATGAGCTGTGTACTTTGGCCAAAGGCTTTTCCACACTGGTTACACTCAAAGGGCTTCACCCTGGTGTGAACCCTCTCGTGCTGAGTCAGGTATTTGCGGCGGCTAAAGGTTTTCTCGCATTTATTACACTTAAAGTGCTTCTCACTGATTCTTGGTTGCTCTCTCTGCTCTGAGTCCTGATTCAGGATCCTCCTGCTCTCACCAAGTCCTTGTTTTTCTCTGGTGTGAACAGTCTGGTGGCAAGTTAGGGTGGAGCTGCAGATGAAGCGCTCACCACACTCCTGACACTCATAGGGGGTCTCCACATTGTGCATTTTCTGGTGTTGGACAAGATGTTCATTGTGGCTGAAAGTTTCCTTGCATTTGGCACAGCTGTAGGGCTTTTCTGTGGCATGGATGGACTGGTGTCGAATCAGGTGGGAGGGCCGGCTGAAACTCTTGATGCATTTGTGACATTTATAGGGCCGGTAGCCAGTGTGAATCCTCTGATGTTCATTAAGGTGAGTGTTCCGGTAGAAGGCTTTCCCACACTCACTGCATTTGTAAGGCTTCTCTCCACTGTGAACCCTCTGGTGGATCTTTAGGGTTGAGATATTCCTGAAGGGTTTCCCACACTGATCACACTTGTAAGGCTTTTCTCCGGTGTGAACAGACTGGTGTTCGACAAGCAGCAAACTCCGCCTAAAGGTCTTCCCACATTCCTGACACTCAGAGGGCGTGTTCGCAGCATGGATTTTCTGGTGTTGGAGGAGGTATTTGTGGAAGTTGAAGGTCGCTTTGCATTTGGCGCATTCATAGCGTTTCTGGGTATGGGTCTTCTGATGCCGAGTAAGATGAAAGGTTCGGCTGAAACTCTTGCCACACTCGCTACATATGTAGGACTGACCCTCCGTGTGGGTTTTCTGATGCTCAGCAGGCTGTAAGCCGAGACCTGACGGCTGGTCACCATCTTGATTCTTAGATGGTTTTTCTCCAGTGTGAGTTTTCTGATGCCACAGGTGTGTATTCTGACTGAAAGTTTTCCCGTACTTGGTACACACACAGGATTTGTAGCCTGTGTGAGTCATCAGAGGCCCAAAGAGGCAAGAACTCTGGCTGAAACATTCCTCGTACTCTTGATGTACAGTGGGTTTCTCTCTAGTATGAATAATCCAGTGCTGGATAAGGTGGTAACTCTGGCTGAAGCTCTTCCCACATTCACTACATTTATACAGTTTCTCCCCTTCCTGGACAGTCTCCTGCCGGCTCTGGTCTAAGTCACAGCCAAAGTCACTCCCATGTTCCGGAGATGTAGCTGGTGCCAGGCTCTTTTCAGGAAGACTGTGAATCACAGAATCCTCTCCTGTGGAAAGGAGAGACTCAGAATCAAGGTCTCTCTTGAGTTCGTGACTCCTGCATTCTATGGGACTTTCCTTGTTGGTAACAAAGTCAGACCTCTGAAAACTTTCTGGATCCCCTAAGATACTATCTAACCAACTCTCGCCTACACAGGCTTTCCCCCAACTGGAGTTCCAGAGGCCATCCTTGGAAAACGTCTCCACGATCTCCTGGGAGAGTTCTTCTTCCAAGAAGTCTTGGGCTAGAAGACAGTTCTTGACCTCAGCTGTGTCTGAAAGAGAGAGAAAGTGCAGATGTCTCCCGTTCCCAAGGGTAAAAAAGTCTGGAGCTGCAGGGTGAGAACACAGACAAGAGGGAGAATGGGTGATGGCTCCTCAGTAAGCCTGTCCTCAGGGTGATGAAGGAGAAGGGGCCGAGGTCGTGACCTGGCTGGAACTAGCATCACAGGAAACAGAGAGCCCATTTCCAGGACAGTTAAGCGGGGAACTGGGCAGCCACAGGGGCTCCACTGGGAAGGGGGGCCTCTCAGCAAATACCCTCTGCCATTACCCCCATCAGCTATGGCCCGCTTCCTGGAGAAGGGCACTGTTCAACGGGGAAAAAGATATAAATAATAGTAACGCAGTACCGTTAATACCACCGGAGGACAGATTTGGTTGGTAAAGGCACAGCTACATGTGCTTGGAAACAGCATATGTTGTTGAGGTGGCCGGATTCTGTGCCTGGGCTGGTCACCTATGCACAAACACTGGTGCACTTGACAGGAGGCTATAGAGGGTCCACATTCATGAGCTCACGAGCAGTGAGCTAAGAACAGAGCTGCCTCCTGACTGGGTGGTGGAGGCTGAGACCAAGCCATGCGGCCACCCCACTGTGATCTCTGATTCGGGGGCCCTTCTCGTGTTAATGATCTGACCATAAGAAAAGCCTCCTGTGCCCCAGGCAAGGCCCCTGTCTCTGCCTTGTCCCACTGGGGACATCTCAACCAGCTTAATACTCTCACTGCCTAACCTGCTCCCCCCAGAGGAAGCATGGCCTAGGAGAGACCCAAACAAATGTTCTTGGCTGCATTAAGGCCTGGGCTTATGTTATTCACAGATGTAGCCCCCCGCTGTGCCCTGTGGGACGGACTTGTACAAAGAGGGGTGAAACAGACCGGGGGTTCGCAGGGCTCAACAGGCACAAGGCAGGAAGGTGGACAGACTGAGTCAGGGCCTGGAAGGCCACCTCCTGCTCAGCCTGAGAAGATGGAAGAGGGGACAGAGGAAAGGCACCAGAACAGCCGCATGCTGAACACTGATGTAGATGGAGACAAGACAGGCCGGCAGAGGGAGGGTCCCAACCTGCCAGGATGAGCGGACAGAAGCCAGCACATGGCAGAGTGACACTCATCAGTCCAGGGTCAAGATGTCTGGATAAACATTCTGGATCTGGATGGAAGTTCCAAAGATGGACAGCACACAAGGGGCCATGTGGCACAGGCCCACCGCCCTCCCCTCCCTGCCCACTCACCAGGGCCCGCCGATTCTGGGCTTTCTCTCACCAGGACCTTTAGCTCCTCGGTGCCATCTGGATGGGAGGTCAGTTTGGGTTTGGAGGGGTCTGCAGGCAGAGAAGAGCACTGTCATCAACTAGGACATGGAGGACCAGCCAGCTGCGTAGCAAGAACCTCCTGGCTCTCCTGCCTAGCCAATGCTTTATCCAGCATACTGCTCCTGAGGGCCAGATGCTGCACTGGGCGACTCCAGGGACACCTGCCCTGCTGGGTTCCCAGTCCAGTGGAGGAGAGGGACGCAGACAGTCACAATCTAGGACGATCAGAGCTGTGACATCCGGGGCTGGGGATACAAAGGACTTGCAGCAGCTCTTGAGGAATGAGCGGTTTGCCAGGTGGAGAGGCTCATACTTACTCAGCCATCCGTGGCTCACGCATTCACCCAGGGAGCACGCATCACCTGAGGCCTCCACAGGCCGGGCCTGGGATGGAGCATGCTGGGTTCCCACAGCCCAGTCAGCCCCGCACTCTGCCCTCTGCAAACTAACTCCTTAAGGAAGGGAGCAGAGTCGTAACACTGGGGGTCCGAGCTACAGTGGAAGAAAAGCCCCTTCTGGCTTGAAAATGAAAGGGCCGTGAGCCAAGCAATGCAGGCGCCTCTAGAAGCTGAAAAGGGGCAAAGAAACACTCTTCCCTGGAGGCTCCAAAAGGATCGAGCCCTGCCAACACCCTGATTTTAGCCCCGTCAGACCCATTTCATACTTCCGACCTCCAGAACTGTAAGAATTGTTTTAAGCTGCTGTGTCCGTGGCATGAGTAAGAGCAGCCATAGGAAGCTAATATGCTGCTCGGGTGTATACACACGTGTGCAGGGGAGTCAAGGGAAACATGCATTTATTGTGGGCCGTAGTTTAAAAATAGAAAAGACACGGAGGTCTGAGCCAAGCTGCTTCTGTAGCACACATTGGGCAGAGTTGAGAGAAAATCTGCAAGGCTGGCCCTTGGCTGGTGTCTGGGAACCTGGATTTGAGGAGGGTGCCAGATTTCCCGAAACAAGATGAGCTGTGCCCCAAGGGTCATGCTGAACACCTGCTTCCCTTCTGGGAGTCTAGAATTCTGGTACATTCCAGGCAGAGCGCGCCTCTGTGACCAGGCCCCAGTAAAAATTATGGGCACTGAGTCCCTTTAACAAGCGTCCCTGGTAGACATTTCACATGTGTTGTCACCTTGGTACACAACCTGTGGGACTCCACAGGCAGAGGGCTCTGGAAGCTGGCTCTGGTTTCCCCTTTGCTGCCCGTGCTGGGTCTTTTCTCTGTAATATGTCGTGGCCAGGAGTACGACTACATGCTGAGTCCTGCGAGTCCTCCTCGTGCACCACCAAACACAGGGTGCTTGTGGGGACCTCAGCATAGCTGAGATGGTGACTTCCCCTCTGTGGACCTCGATTTCAGAAGGGCCCACAAAACAGGGAGTCAGACTTCCTCGTGGGGGGAGGGCAGGATTGAAGGGCAGTTCTCAGCACTGACCCAGCGTGAGACACGGCTCCTGACTCAGCTGCTCCTGCATTTACTGAGCTGCCGCTCAGTGAGTCCCCACAGCAGGTACAGACTGTTCCAGACACTGGGGATATACCTGTGAGCAGTATGGGCGCACAGTCCCCACCCTCAGGGGTCACCCGTCCCAGCTGCAGGAGACAGAGCATTAAATGAGCAGTTAGCAAGTGCAGGGGTGGTGGGTGAGCAGAGCAGGAGACAGAGGAGGACTTGCTCACAGGCCGTCCTGGGGGCAGGGAGGGGACAAGTCTTCTAGCAGCAGGGAAGGCAGATGTGAGGACTCTGCCTATCAGCTTTACAATGACGAAGAGGAAAGTGCTGACGAAGCCAGAGCAGCAGGTGGGGGTGATCAGGGTTTCTCAACCTTGGCACTCCTGACATTTGGGGTCGGATAATCCTCGGCTGTAGGGGCTGTCCTTGCATTCCAGGACATGTGGCAGCAAGCCTGGGCTCTACCTACGAGATGCTAGGCGCATACCCCCCACTCCCAAGTGCTGATAATCAGCAAGGGCATTGCCAATGTCCCTGGAGGGGGGTTTGTGGCCAGAACTAGCCAGCTGAGCACTGTTGGGCCATGTCATGCTCGTTCTCTGGCACTCAGGAGCCGGGAGTTTATCCTGGGGGACAGGAGCCACTGAGCAGGGCAGTGACCAAGCCCCCGGGGCTGGAGTGGACACTCACTCAGCAGGAATAGGTTCTGGTAGTTGTCCAGCGCTGTGTCCCAGAACAGGTCCCCCTGGTCCAGCCCCAGGTGCTCCCAGTCCTCCAATGTGAAGTCCATGGCTGCATCCCCAAGGGGCACAAATTCCTGAAATGTGACACACTGTCAGTGACACTGGGACTGAGGTCAGGGAAGGACCCAATAGCTCACTACGTGCACCCCGCTCTCAATATACCAGGCCTTTGACAAAAATCATCTCCTGGGAGTCCTGAGACATAAGAGACTGGGCATCCCCATATTTTATAGGCAAGATATGGAGTCTTGGAGAGGGGACGTGAGGTCCCCTCAAGGTCACACAGGCAGGACTTAAATCCACGTCTGCCTGTTGCTAAAATCTACGTACTGTGGCTCTTGCTTTTGAGTGTTCATTCAAGATTTTAAGTTATTATGGAAATTTTCAGACATATACAGAAGTAGAGATTTGTTTGTAACAGACCGCCATGTACCCAGCACCCAACTTCAACCCTTGTTAACACTGGTCTGTTTTGTTCATTAGGTTTTTTTGCGGGGGAGGGGGGGACAAAATATTTCAAAATGAATCCCAGGCAGCATCTGATTTCCCCTGTGAATACTTCAATATTTACAATAGAACTCCTTAATCACTGAATACCTAGACCATATTCAAAGTCTGAATGTAGATTTGTCTGACATCTCAATGGTGGTTTTTTCCTTTTTTTTAATTGTAAAAAAAAAAAAATGCCACTTCAGCCAGTGGCATTAAAGGCATTCACATTATGCAGCCATCACCTTGCAGAACTGAAACTCTGTCCCCTTTAAACACCATCTCCCCACCCCCAGCCCCAGCCCCAGCCCAGCCCCTGGCATCACCATTCTGCTATGATTTGACCACTATGGGTTCAATGGTATGTTTTTCTGGCTGGCTTGTTTGAATCAGAAGCCAAAGTGGCCCACGCCCTGCGCTGGGCTGACATGGCTCTGAAGGTTTTTAATCTACAGCTGTACCCTCTGCCCTCTCACTCCTCCACCACCCCTCCACCGTCCCACATTACAGACGTGGCGATTCCTCTCACTGTCATCTGGCTGCTCCTTGGCCCACTGCATCTCCCAGAAACTGCTTGGTAAGTGGCCTGATTAGATTCAGTATGACTTCTGAGGGGAAGCAAGAGCCCTCATAGGTGGTGCTGGGTCCATTTTGGGCTGCATGACTGCCTGAGGCACCCGAATGTCCAACTGTAAGTGACATCATCTTTCTTAATTTGAAAACTTCCTAGTGAGTAGGTACTTAGAATAAACCCTCAAATACTCGAGAAGTATTGATAATAAAGGGCCAGCCTTGGGGTGCCTGGGTGGCTCAGCTGGTTAAGCATCTTACTCTTAATCTCAGCTCAGGTCTTGATCTCAAGGTCATGATTTCAAGCTCTGTGTTGGGCTCCACGCTGGGTGTGGAACCTACTTAAAAAAAGGGTTGAGGTGGCTCAGTTGGTTAAGCGACTGCCTTTGGCTCAAGTCATGATCCCGGGGTCCTGGCATGGAGCCCCACATCAGGCTCTCTGCTCAGCAGGGAGTCTGCTTCTCCCTCAGCAGGGAGTCAGCTTCTCCCTCTGTCCCTCACCCCCTTCTCTCTCTCAAATAAAATCTTAAAAAGAAAAAAGTGCCAGCCTTACCCCAAGCACCCCGTCTCCAGGAGGACCCATGGCTCTCTGATGTGCTCCCTCCAGACTGCTATTAATGCACACAAAGGCATGGGTTTTTTTAAAAAGATTTATTTATTCATTTGAGAGAGAGAGAGAGAGACAGGGAGAGGGAGAGGGCATGAGGGGGGGGCAGACAGAGGGAGGAAGACTCAAGCAAGCTCCATGCTGAGAGCAGAGCCCAATGTAGGGCTTGATCCCATGACCGTAAGATCATGACCTGAGCCAAAACCAAGAGTCAGACACGGAACCAACTGCACCACCCAGGTGCCCCTACAGGCATGTTTTACCTAAGAATGGAACCTGAGTCTCTAGTTGGGCTTGGCACCTGGCCCCGCTACCTTCCGCTGTGGATGACCACTGGCAAGTAAGTCACATGCCCCTTCTGAACCCTGATTCCTACCCCATTAGTAAGATGGGACTAATGAGCCCCATGGCATGAGTCGCTGCTCCAAGAAGCGACTGAGTCCTCCTACCATGTAGAAAGGACCCAACCAAAGGGACCAAAGGACAGTTCCACACCTCTCCATCCCTATCACAAATCTCATCCAGGAGTCCTCACTCACCAATTCCTTGAAAGCAGGATTGTCCACAATTTATAGAAGGTAAGATTGAGGCCCAGAGAATCAAATTCACCTGCCCCGAGTCACACACTCGCTAAGTGGGGGCAAAGGAGTGAGAGTCCCCTGTGTGACCCTAGGAAGCCAACTAGTTAGAGGCATGACTTTGTAGTCTGTCAGACCCCCAAATCAAATTCTGGTTCTGCTATTTATTAACCATGGGACCTTGTTATTCCCTGTCTCTAAGGCCCTGTTTCCTCATCTCTAAAATACTGCTGCTGTGGGAATGCAGTGAGCTGAGGACCGTCTGCACAGCACCACCCATCATCCAGGGACCACTGAGCACCTGCTCTGAGCCTGCCTCATGCCAGGCATATAGCAGAGCAGAGGAGTCCAGTTCTTATGGAAGTTAGTCTGGGTGTGTCATATTGATATTTGTGGAAAATGCTTTGTAAAACTCTTAATAACAGTCAACACACACACGTGGGTATGTTTAAAAAATGCTCATCTTCAAAGGATGATAGGAACTGATCTTATATTGAAAATTGGTAAATAAGAGGAAAGAATCAAGCATTTATCCCACCTCTGCTATATGAACTGTACCAGTGGGTTACCAAATAGAAGATGAAAGGAAATATCTTTTTTGAGGCTGAGGCAGAGGCTGAGGCTGATCTAAGTCTCTGAATCCAGCCACCAACTGGGAGCGTGCTACACAGCACCAAAAGTAAGTAACCAGAAAAAAAAAAAAAAACAGACTGGGAGAAATTCTACAGGTCAAACAGCCCTGGTTCTTCAATGGAAAACTATTAAGAACAGAATGGGATAGAGGAGGAACCTATATGTTAAGAAACCCCCAAAACATTAAAAAAAGAGAAGGGGCAACAGGGACGTGCATTTGGGTGATAAAACTATTGTTCAAAAAACCAGAAGGAAGGGGCGCCTGGGTGGCTCAGTTGGTTGGGCATCCGGCTCTTGATTTCTGCTCAGGTCATGATCTCAGGGTTGTAGCATGGAGTCCAGCATCAGGCTTCATGCTGGGCGTGGAGTCTGCTTGAGATTCTCTCTCCCTCTGCCTCTCCCTCCGCCACTTCTCTAAAAAAGGAAGTGATGACTACAAAAACCAGGTTATTTATGGGTACACGAGAGGGCTCCAGGATGGCCAAGGTCTCACTCTTGACCTGGTTGGTGTCTGCCTTCACTAAGTCATTCATTTGATGTGCATGGGTTTCTGCATTTGTGCTTTATTTTACAACGAAGATTTTGGGGCACCTCGGTGGCTCAGTTGGTTGAGCGTCCGACTCTTGATCTCAACTCAGATCTTGATTTCAGGGTCATGAGTTCAGGCTCCGTGTTGGGCTCCATGCTGGTCATGGAGCCTACTTAAAAAAAAAAAAAACAAAAACAAAGATTTCTCAAAAATTAAGCGTATTAATTAAGCATATTCTAAACAGGACCCTCCTCCTGGAAAAAGATAAAAGGTGGAAGGGCAGAGGCAGGGAGATGAGCAAAAAGATGAATTCCATGACCCAGGTGAGAAATGAGACAGGGATGGAGAGCGGGGTGGCAGGACAAGAGGTAGACATTTTGATGATGGTGCTGACATTTCCTAAGAGATCAAATGTAGCAGTGAAAGAGAGGAGCCCAGACGTCTCTAAGATTTTAGCCCAAGCAACCGGAAGGATAGAGCTGCAGCTTCCGGAGACATGGGATAAGCAGGTTTCCAGGCAGAGTCTGAGTTTGGTCTGCTGCGAGTTAAGTTTGAGATACCCTTTTAGACCTTAGACATAACAGTCCCCCAAAGACATCCACGTTCTAATCCCCAGAACCCACAACTGTTACCTTGTATGGCAAAGGGGACTTCACAGGTGTGACACATTAAGGATCCTGAGATGGGGAGGTTCTCCTGGATGATCAAGGTGAGCCCTAACTGCCATGACCAATATCCTTATAAGAGGCAGAAGGAGACAAACGAGGGAGAAGGCAAGGTGATGACGGAAGCAGAGGTGAAAGGGATGTGACCATGAGTCAAGGAACACAGGTCCCTCTAGAAGCTGCATGAGGCATGGAAAGGCTTCTCCCCCACAGCCTCCAAAAGGAAGGGGCCCTGCGAACACCCTGACTTCAGATTTCTAGCCTCCAGAACTAAGACAATACATTTCTGTTGTTCAAGGCACTTTGTTACTGCAGCCCTCGCAAACAGACACGCTCTTACCCCCCCATAACATGTGAGCTACATGATGGCAGGGACCACATCAGCTGGTTCCCTAGTGTGTCAATACAGCACCTAGAACAAAGCCTACCTGTAGGAAGCACGTGGGGGTGTGCAGTTCTGACAGCTGTTTCAGGACAAGGATGGAGCCAAGAGGTAGTGGGGCTGAGAGATGGGGACGATAAAGTGGGTCTTGGGCACACTGGGTGAGCTGGTGGATCAAGCCAGCACCCCCGCTGGACTTTTCGGTTATGTGCCCTACAGAATCTACTGACAGTTTAAACTGGGTTGAGTCGAGTGTTCTGTTATTTGTAGTTGAAACTGTTGCTGTCTATACCCTGTCGGAAGGGATTAGCCAAAGAGGTTTTCTCACCAGGAGCCAGATTAGAGAGTCCCAAGAAGCTTCCTTTCCTGGACTCCTTGACTTTGCTGGACAGCAGCACCCCTGGAGATAGTGGTGGAGGGTGTGGGAAGACCCTGGACTTGATTCGTGGGGCACTGGGGAGCCACAGAGAGTTTTAGACTGGCCAGTGACAAGGTCAGAGCATGCATTCATTCATTCAACAGTCATTTCTCCTGTGTGCCAGACCCCTCTGAGGATGCTGGAGGCACAGAGGTGTCAGACCCTGTCCTTGGCCTGGAGGGGACATTCAGGGATGCTAATAGCATAAGGAGATAGGGCTGTGACAGAGGGCAGTATCCAGGGCTGTGGCCAGGAAAGGGCGTGAAAACACTGCCTTAGCCTTAGAAAACATTGCCTGGTCGGGTGAGATATTCAAGTTGGATCATTAAGGATAAGCAGATATTACCAGGTAGAGGAAGGTTTTCTTCCATCATTCAAGCAACACCTCAAGAATTCCTGTGTACCAGGCCTGTGCTGTTGCCTGGGGGCCCAGAGGTGAGTCCCAATCAGTACCCATCCCCAAGGAGCACCTTGTCTGGTGGGGCTGACAGACAGGGGCAGGAACAACCACATCCAGGTGGATCTGTGCTACGGTGGAGGCAGCAGGGGACGCTATGG